TTTTAATTGACCATCATGGCTGGACAAACGATGCAGCCAGAACACTTTCCAATCATGCCTGCGAATAAACGTCCTTGGATAATGATCTTTTCGGAATATACCGATGTCAATCATCCTGATTTGTCCGTCCGACCCAAGCCACCTCAGCCGTTCAACTCAGATGTACAGGTGACACAAGCTGAGGTCAGAACGGATCGAAAGCCAGCGTGTTTGCACAAGTGTCCAGTCTGTCATGTCACATTTTTGACAGACCATGGCCTCCGACATCATGCACATCAAGCCCATGAGCTAAGCACCTCCGACCCCTCGGCCTCGTCCTCACAGGTGATGCCTGTTGGCACCAAGTCGATGACCAAAGGCCGTCCGAGCAAGGGACAGACGACAGATGCTCTGATACAGGTGTTGAAATTTCCTGATATTGGACCGATTCCTGAACCAATGCACACATTTCAATGTCCGTTATGCCCCAACAAACTAGGACGGAAAGTGGTGGCCTCTCATTTGCGCACATGCCATCAATTTGATCGACCAGCTGAATTCGACCTCGTTCCCATGCGCGACGTCCTTCCAGGCAGATTGACATGTGTATATTGTAAGGCCACCTTCAATATTGAACAAGCCCTCAGGACACATTTCCAACGTGCATTCTGTCCTGTACGCCTCTGTCAGATGACCTCGGATTTGCATTTTGGAGCTCCGGTAGTCTCTGCTAGTGAAGTCATACCTGCATTCCAAATGACGAAGATGCAATTTGATCCGCCGGGACTGATTGGACCCATGTGGCAGTCAAACAACCCAGATCCTTTTTCACAAGGGCTTATCCTCCCATGCCTGGTTGCCCTGACACCTGCACTGACCTTTTGGCCGGAACATCGGTTGCATTGGTACGTGCATTTGATGACCTGGTTTGGACGTTGGAACGACCTGCCTCAGGTTTGTCTTGATCTCACCTGGATTTGCAATATTCTTCAATACATCACCCAGCAGCTTCCCATCGCATGGGCCTGGGCCTCGGATGATTGGGAGTTGATTGCATACGACCGGATGTACATCCCCGAAAAGGAATATGATCAGCTTTTGCACGTGTTGCCCATTTTGTACCAACTTGAGCACACACTGGCCCAAGACATACGATTTGACTGACGTGTGCTTGACAAGTATGCCAGAGAGCATGCAACACGACGATCAGAATTTTTACGATCTCATGGAACTTTGTCGGGAACACTTTGGGAAACGGCCACGAACGGAGCAGTCTGGACAATTCGACCGGAGATCTGGACCGAACAGATCCAACAGATCGTCCAACTCCTCGGCCTCTTCGTCGGACGACCGAGAACTCACGTTCATGCTAGCTCGCCTTTGCCTTCGACAGGAGGATCAGTTGAACGGGCTGGCCATGGACAGGTCCTTCATAATGTTCCTGCAATATGGGAAGGGCAGTGTGATGCCACTCCTTTTGCAGGCCTCCAAGGATTGGCACATGCAGAAACAAGGAGACGGTGTTCAGCAGCCCTTGAGAGCAGTTCTGTTTCGAATTTTGATGGAGGAATTTCTGAAACGAGCCCAGCTTCTCAAGTTCGATGCACCAGAAGACGCATTGATCAAAGGGTTGAGGACACAATAGATCCTGACAAGTTCCAATTACTGGAACTTTCTCTTTCTTGGATGGGATCACAATTCCAAGTGCCTCAAGCCCACCAAACAGGATCCTTTGAGCTCCCCACAGCTGCACGAAATGCTTCAATGGATGATTCAGTTGTCCACTCAGACAAATTTCATTCGCAAGTTTGCGGCCATGAAGCCAATGCCCAAAGAATTCCCGGACGACCAACAGATCTCAATCCCATGGCGCCTGGACATTTCTGTCAGGATACCCGAGAGCTCGGAGCTCTACAATTTGGTGAACAAGTTATGCGACAACGGGCTGACTCAGCTGGTGGCAATGCGCCACCGGCCCACGGGACTCCAGAGGAGCCCCTTGGCCAATGCCATAGCACAGAAGCTGCGGAGATGATTCGTATTTTGGCCAATCAGATATGGTCCAACCCAGGGAATCATTGCTAGGGCCTGCCTGATGTATGATGGTGTTTTCAACATCCATGTGGGGAGCATGGAGCCAGCATTTGACTTCAATGCTGACGGATTTGGGAACACAGCCACTGACCTTGACAGATCATGCTGTTTTGGGTGAGCAGCTCTTGCCATGGTTAAAAACACACGATGTACCCAGCCAGCAAGATGCCGCTGAATTTGCAGGTTGGTTTCGTGGCCAATTGTTCGATCAGCACCAGCTCGGCAGTTTGACAGCCGGCTGGCAAAAGCGTCTTATGCATTCAATAGAGGACCAAGGAAAGGTCTTAATCCCGATATTTTTGAATTGCAGCCAAAAATCCAGTCTGCAAGATTTGATTGATAATTGGCACTTGAATGATCCCTTTGTTTACGCATTTGTTCAAGCCAATGACATGATTTGCATCCAGGTGAACCGATTTCCCAGTCTTGATTCCAAATTTTGTGAACCGATTTATGGAAGCCGGATTGAGGTACTTGTACCCATCTTCGACGCAGCACAGGGCTTTGAAGTCACCTGGCATAGCTACCGTGTCACAGCCTCAGTGCTTCATAGCTACCGTGTCACAGCCTCAGTGCTTCACAAAGGTGAGGTGCCCACGAAGTGGGCACTATGTAAGTGCGCTGTACACCTCCCTTGATGTGTTTCTTGCTGATGATGACCATATTCCATACCAGACACGCACGCATGAAATGATTGCCTGGGAGTATTATCTCCTTAGGCTTACGCCAATCACGGCATTGCAGCATCCAAGATAGAATATACCCATCTGTCGAACGACCACGATGGCACAGACGCCAGACTTACATAACTTGTTCGGGGATGCTTTAATAAAATTTATTAACCTTTCGTTTTCCATTTCATCCTATAGATGTGGGCCTAGACATTCCTAAAATGTCCGATTATCACACGATTGCAGTCCAAAACGGATAAAAAAAAATCTCTATTAATATTTTAATATTTAAAAATTATAAATATATATTTTAAATATTTAATGTATAATAATATATTTATCTATTTTTATAAAATATATATATATATAAATAAATATACATATAATATTATTCTAAATATATATTTTAATATTCATATATTTATATATAAAAAATATACGAATTTATATTATATTAAAAATAATATATATAATACCGTACGTTAATATAAAAGAAATATTTCTAGATTTATATTTCATTTGCCCGACCGAGAATAATTATATATTTCGAAAAAAATACATATAAAGCGAAAATAAATATAAACATATTTTATTTATTTATTTATTCGTTAATTATTTATATTATTTAATTATCTTTTCCTATTTCTATGTTTATTCCCTTTACGAAAATAAAATAAATAAAACCTCCAAATCGTATCCTTAAATAAATCGACCTTTCGCCATTTCAAAACGATCCTAATCCAACCAATTAATATATTCACGACCTCCCTCCACATTCCTTATATCTTCCCCGTTAAACGAGTAAAAACAAAAACAATAAACCAAAAGAAAAATTATTTAAAATATAGTTTCCTAATTAAATTCAATTCCTACCTTTTTTAATATTTTAATATATTATAAAACAATTTCTTAAATATTTAATAAATATCGAATAAAATATATAATTAATATAAATCATTTCCATTCTCAATTCATCCGTTCTAAATCTAAACTAATACATATTAATTTTCCCCGATATATATATATATAATATATAGTAATATTCTAAATATGTTTATTAAATATTATGTACGTAATAGAAATAATAAATCGTAAATTTAGAATATCAATGAATTGATTATATAATTAAAGATTCAACCAAAAATAGGTTGATATATTTGATTATTTGTGAAACAAATGTGCATCCAATCCATCACCTTCCGGTGGTGGTCCTGAAGCCAAGTAAAATTGAGATTTCAATAAGATCCACAACGATTGGTTTGGTAATTTCAGCATATGTCTGTCAGCCACCTCATTTGCCCTCTACCTTGCTCACAACCTTTTTGATCAGCTTCGCATGGTCTTTGTGCAGTATCATCATTCAAATGACAGAGTTTGGGACACTTCGGATTCCCAAACTTGTGCAAAAACGATTCCTGATTTATCCTCAGGCGCCACCCGATGCTTCAGGCTTAGCTGCGAGGATTTATATGTACCAGTGCGATCCAACAATCTGAGCCCAGCTGATTGACTAGGATCATGAGTCCTTCTGAACCGAATGAACTCAGGGCATCTGTTGCTGCACCAGTCTCCAAGCTCAGTGTTCTCGGGTATAAAGGGACGGGCAAGCTCGACTTATTGGTGCAGCGCTTCAGTTTCCTTGTCTTACCCATCCACACACCCGAGAAGCTCGACTCAAATTCATTCAAATTGAGACGCACTCTCTTTCTCTCTCACTATTTTTTACTCTCTGGTCTAAGCAAAAGCATAAGTGCTTGTGTGCACGAAGGCTATACTTTCAAGCTTCAAGAGCGCACATCGGGCTAAATTTGGAGGCTCTTGCTGTCATTTTGCTCTGGGATGTCACGCATGGAAGATCAAATGACAAAACCGCACGACAAGATCTTGAGTGCTCCAGCCACTGGGTATCCCAAAGATCCAAAAACAAGACAAAGAAATGAAAGGCAAAACATGTGAGCAATTGAAATATAAGCTCGGAATCTAAATCTGGAACCTCTCATCGAAGCATGTATAGCCATTGGGCTTGGACACCACAGCCCGAACATGAAGAATGTTGGGAAAATACTCATGTTCGCCGTGACAGCCGTTATCTGAGATGCGGCATCTGTCGTCTGTACATGTTCTCTGTACAATCCATCATAATCCATGATCACAAAATGCCGCATAGTTCTTAGTATCTTCAAAGCTTCTGTGGCGAACATGTGCGCCATCAATCATGACCGAAGCTGTCAAAAGAATAGGTGGCTTCTAAAAGATTTACTCGGCAGCTTGCAGCACATCATATGCCATCATGATGAAGGCCAGGTCTGCCAGAGCCACGGTCAGATGAAAGTCCTCATGCCAACCGTTGAGGCCTTTGAAATGCCAAGGCATATCAGGATATCGTCCTGAGCCCAAACACTTAAATCACCGTGCCCGAAACAGAAGCAGGTCAGTCTGACCGAACCACAGTTGCTGGTTTCGGTAGATACCGAGCGTCCATCTTTGATCCAACTCAAATAATACCATTCCTATAATGGAAACACACGGCACATGTTCTTCTTTCTGAGTCAGGCACGCGAGAAGGGCGGTGCAAGAAAGAAGCCGATGCTATAGATGACGGCTCCAATGATCCAGAGATGCTGAAAGTCGTAGCCAATACCGCAGAGTACCAAGCACCAAAGAAAGTAAAGGGTGTTGATCACAGTCCTGAGGGTTCGCTTCCTTCAGGGAAGAATGGATGAACGAAACAGTCAATCCTCTGAAGCTGCCTCTTTAACATGGACAAATCATTTTTCTCTTGCTTCTTCACTCTGCTTGTCCTTGCAAATGGCTCTCTAGCTTGGCTGCAAGAAACTACACAAACATGTTAAAAAGGAAGACGGTAAGCCCCGTGTACAGGGGCCATACCTTCTTTATCCCTTTTCTTTTTTCTTTATCTGAGACTAGCGCAGCTGGCCTGTCCAGTCTTTTCAGGTCAGACTCCGAGGCGTTCGCCAATTTCGAATCAATCAAACGATGAGTTGAGCCAGCCACTGCACAGGCGCAAGCGAAGTGGAGCAGCCAAAGTCGTGCCTTGCTTCTAGACTAAACAGGGCCAAACTCAGTTTGGACGGCCATAGAAATCAAGACAACAAAACTTATTCAGGAAAGCATGTCTTGTCCACCGTTGAGGGAGGAAGCTTCCTTGAAGAATGCGTCCGATCGCCCCTAATGTACTGCACCCACAGAAAAAAATAAAAGCAAACCTCGGCACATCGTCCAAGAAGACGGAGGTGGGAGCCCACACTGCAAAGCAAATCCCGACCAAGTCCATCCGCAACCAGACATTGAAAATCTCAACTGAAGGGTGTGGGTAGAGGTGGAGTACGGCGCTGCAAAAGTAGCCTTGGGGCTGGGAAAAAAAGTGCCAAAGACTGCCCACACATGTGCAGTTCGTTGCTGTGGTGTCTGCGGTGTGGCTTAGCTTTGGCTACTGATTGAAATCTTGTGTAGCACATGGTGAAGTCCTAAGTCTCCAATTCATGCCCAGCGGCTCAACAACTTCGCACCCAGCAAGGCACTGAAGCGGAGCCAAAGCTTTGGCAATAGCCCACCAAGAGCGGCGCAACTGTAGCCAATGAAAAGGAACAGTAGCCTTCCAACAACTGAAGGAACAGAAGAAACCAAGTGATTCATGAGTTCTCCCCCTGTATACCTCTCCAGGTATCCTTGGGCATAAACCTGGATCATTGAACCTCCAGACTGCAATGCCGGCTAGGTGCACTGCATGGTTTTTCATGAATCGATCAATCGATTGCCGCCGAAAAGGACAGGTCAGGACAAGTGCGGCCTGTCTTGATTCATCCAATTCCAAAACAACTTTGAACCTGCTGATGATAACTTGGGATGCCCCGCTGCCGCCCAAGAGATAATGATAAGCACATATTGTATTATAGACAGTTAGCCCATTGGTTGCGGGGGCCACCCTGTTATAATACAAATCCATGTTCAAAGTCATGCGGAATGATCAATTCTGTGGGAGGGAACGGACATCGAACTCCAAGTCACACCACTGAGATGATGCCGTGCAAGACTCCACGAAGCGCGGGCCGCTTCCATCCATTGACCTCGGGTTGTAGTTAGTCGCATTCCTGTTCCTGCCTCTTTTTTCCGCTATCGAAGGTATGTGAATTGGTTATTACATTGGTGGTCCTCATCAACAGTAGCTCTGTGGCAGCGGCTCAAAACTTTGCTACTCAGCTAAACATCTCCCAAATGATCCCATTGCGCTCAAATGATTCCCTGGTTCGGTGTGTCCAGTTTTGACCTGCACCGGTGTAACTACTGTGTATAATTGTCATAGTCGATTCTGACACCATTGCTGTTCCATCATGCCTGACCACCCTGACTGGGTTTATGAACTGGATGCCCGAAACTGCAGGAATCCTGTTTTGCAGAAGAAGGAGAGTATATAACGCTTCAATGACTTTCCTTGGCAAGTCTCATATGACTTTCGCCCCAGCAGGGGAGACGAAAGAGAGGAAATCTGCATGTCGAACAGTGCAGTGCAGCGACACGCGTGGGTGAATGAACTATATAAATCGATTGAGCTGTCAAGGCAGCGACAAGGACAAGTCCGGCTACAGTGAAAAAGCGAAGGGGCTGGAAGTTTCAATCTGCAGTCTGTACTCAAGACTCTGAAGACATCTCTCTTGGCACAACCAAGATCCTCTGGCAGTCTAAATTGACAAGTCGTGAAAGCACGGACTAGGCATGTGTCTGCATGTCAGTCTGACGCCTCAGCGTCTGCACAACAAGGCTGTTGTGGCCTTACTGCACCTTGAGAGCAAAATAGGGTCTAGTCATGTCTAGTCTAGTTGCGGCAAACAGTTTCAAAATCTTCATGTCGAATGTCTTCGACTGTCTCACTTAATTGCAAAGCGTCAAAGAAACATAAAGAAACCGTACCTCAGGATACCCACCCTTGCAGGATGGCATTCATAATGATCCGAAAGGACACATGCACCAGGAACCAAAATCGTACACCGTTTCGAAAAGGTCGTCGAGGTCATCTGAGGTCCCTGGCATTCTGCCAACAAAGTTCACACAAGCCTGGCGTCGTTGAGGGAGTTCGTTCGTTTCGTCTGGAAACGGATGGACACACGAAAAACAAAGCCGTCGGGCGGCCTTGCCGCCTGGCACATAGGAGGCCACAAAGTATAAAAGACCCACTGCCTGAGCGGACAGCTGAGCGCGGCATTCCTTCAGATATCATGAGTTGAGAAGCATTGGGTGAAGAGAACGCGTTCTGCGGATGACCGTACCAATGAGAAAGTGACAAAAACAAAAACAAACAAACGCATGGAAAAAGGCACAAGCCAACGATAGCCACATGGTAACTATCGTGTCCTTGGCTTAAACAATCGGCTTGTGAACACCACACGATGGAGACGGACTTTCGCTTCTAAAGCGATCAGTCGATCAGTGTTTGGCTCCAATGGCCATCCGCCTGAAGGAGTCCACAAATGCCCGTGAGCAAAAAGCTGCGCAGGATGATGGTTGCCACTAAGGTACCCACCTGAGTCATGCCCATTTTGCAAGTCTCGGAGTGGAGAATCGGATGTCTCGCTTTGCTAAAGCACTTTGAGACGGATGTCCCTGAAAATCGTCCCTCCACACTGACGCAATCCAACTCTAGGCTGCTCGACCAGACCGACGCCGTATGCAACAGAGAAGGGCAGTTGCTCCTTCCTTGCCATGCCCGACAAAAAGGCCTCATTGCCAAAGCGTAGAAGCTTCAGGAGAAATAGGAGTGCGAACATTAAACACCAAAATATCCGATTGGTGTGTCAACTGGGAGAAGCCCACCAGACGTACGCTTGTTTGTGCGGTTAATTGGCCAATTCGACGTGAATCCAGATCCAACTCCGTGCCTTCGGCCCCTTTAGCAGGGCAAAGGACCCCAACCTCGGCAAACTCAGCAGCCTTTTGTTTGCTGGGCCTTGTCAACATGATGTCAACATGAATCATTTGCACTGGCCAAGGGACATCGTCATGGAGCCAAAAGCGAAGAGCAGGGCAAATTTCTGTGGGGCGATGACCATCACCGGCAAAAAGTTCAAGGACTGAGTTCAACCAAGGCAGTTGGCTTGATGAGCTCTGTGCAGTGGAAAGTGCATTTACACTCCAGCTCCATTCTTGACACCGCTAGCATGCTGAGGCTCTAGCAAGAGAGATGAGGAAAACACCAGCTAAAAAAGTGCCCGCAAACCTTGCCAGACAAAAATCAACGAGCATGAATTAAGCAATCACAAGTATGCTAATCTGACTTTCAATGCCATCATGTCAACTAGCTTTGCTTTTGACCACAACCGACCGGATTTCGGGTTCCCCCACTGTGCCAGCTTTGCCGGCGACAGAGCCAAGTTTCCCAGGCCTTTCAATCCTTCACCCGCCTGCAACAGGCTTTCTTGCTCTGAACAGCTCCAAACCTTTTTGTTAGCCCGGGGGGTAGGCCGTGGTAGCTACTAAGCTATGAAGTAGGCCGCTTCTAGCAGCTGGATGCAGGAAAGCTCACGTACTATTCATGTGGTTCTTAGATCTTTTTTGGATACAATCCATCCTTCTACAGTAGATGTCTATAAGTAGACACGCTTAGCTACGAATTTGAATAGGAATTCCACGCAGTCTTTGAGAGGTCTCCCTATTTCAATACACGCCCATATTGACTCCTGACTCCTCATGTGATTCTCAAGAAACTTGGGAGCGTGAAAACACCATGACGGTCCGCCTGTGCGAGTTTGTCCTTGGCCGCACCTGCCACACTCGCCGCCTTGTCCTCAGCAATAAGACCCCAAAAGAGTGCTCGTCCGAGATCAAAACTGGGTTTGGACATGACCCTCTTGAACTGACTCGGACATTCAACCCAGTTGAGATCTGTTTGCCGAGATCGTCTTGAGGTCCTGGATGCTCCTGATGTCTATACTCGGTGATGCCGCTAGGTTTCCATCACAATCCCTAAAAATCTAGGAACCAAATCATTAGTGCAAGCACTTCTTCAAGGAAGCCTCCCCCGCCGCCCTTGGGGGAGCTTCCTTTTTTTTTTGCTTTCCAGCCGCAACGAGAAGTCTCCGGCAACCATCACGCATTCCGCATTGATGGTCACATCTGTACCAACAAAAGACCTACAACAAAGCGTCGAACGAAGTACTCCACGAGTGAGGAGTAAGGCTAGCGCCCTTTGCAAATGCCCTGGCCAGCATTTCAAGAGCGGGAGTTGGCAACCAAGCTTCAGCTCCAACAAAGGTCCCTTTAGGAAAGGTCTTTCCGTTGCTCTTATTGCCTTTGTCGAGCAAAAGTGGAGCGACAGTGACCTGCTTATGCTTGCAAACTGCAAAACCAGCTCTGATGATACTGGCATATGCTTGAGGTGTACTCAGAATCCCTGAAGGCAGTTGAAACCGCCAACCATTGATGAACGCCAGAACAGCCAACTCAAACACCGAACATGCAAAATTTTCCCCAACTCTCCATTTCACAGAGGCACAAAACCGTAAGAAGGTTTGGAAATTCACCTCAGTGAGCTTGTTATTCTCCCGAAAAGGCACATTGCCTGGATGCTGTGCCTGCCACATGTATAAGGAGGAAGACACGTCCCACGGCCAACGAGGAAACATCTGTCGAGCAGAATAAGTAGCAGCAGGTGCGTCGGTGTTACGGGCCACAGTCGGAGTAGTGGCAACTGGCTTCTTACACCATCTATTGCACTTAGACAACCAAAGTTGCCTAGCAAAAACATCTGCTTCCTTACTGGCAAGCTCAGCTTTGATGGCACGGGCAGTCTCAGAAATGTGCTGTTTCGCATGATAGTCGGCAAGCCTGTTGAGTACAATATCACGCAGAGTCGATCCAGCCCGTTGAGCTTCTTCTTCGGTAATTTGCGAACTTGGGATATGCTCCAATAAATGAGCAGGGCACCACAGAAGTTGCAAAGGTGAATCATGGAAAGCCCTGCGCTGATGCAGCAAAGTCAACAAATGCCCCCACCAGTTGGCGTGTGTCCACTCCACTGACACTTTATCATCACGCAGCAACGTAGAGAACTGTTGCACAATTGTAAGCGAATCAGTATGGATCACCAGAGGTTGCGAAGCAAAGGAGAAGGCACAAAGCACCGCCCAAAGCTCAGCACTATAGCTTGATAGCCTCCAATGGTGGACCCGGCCCACAGCCAATACAGATTCATCACAACGAATAACTGCAAAAGAGGCTAAAGCCAACCAAGGATACTGCGTGAGCTGAACAGATCCATCCGTCCAGACATGCTCCACCGGCCCAATGTCCACTGACCATTGCTGGACCCGCAGTTCTGATGGCTTAGAGACCACCAACTTGCGCCGGATTTCCTCGATTGGAATTTCCGCGATTCCCAAAACAGGGAAGTTTGGCCCAAGAAAGAATTTGGTGGCAGGCTGCCGAAGCTCAGCAGGTAGTGCCGCACATTCATTGACAAGGTGCGGAAGAGACTCCTTGGAGGCGTGACAGAACCTGCAGTCGGCTGTTTCAGCAAGGCCAGCCGCTGCAAGGCGATCAGCCGTCAATGTACAGCCTGTGATAGCACTGTCCCAGTGAAAGAGAAAGCTGTAGCCCTCATTTGGCACCTTGATAAGCTTCTTTTTGGCCGACAGAGTCATGGG